CCTCACAAGAACCTAGAAGAAGCGCGGACACCATTTTGGTCTGGTGAGTCTTGTCGATAACCATACTCTTGGAGCTTAACTGTTGGTGCCTTTAACAAGGGACAGATCCGGCTATAATCTGGCCTAGGGCCTCCGTCGGAGGGTTTCTGGATTTTTCGGGTCTGGGGTTTACTCGGGTCCGTGTGGACTCCAAACCCCGAGCCCGAGACCCCAAGCCCCAAGCCCCAGGCCCGAACCCCAAACCCCGAACCCCGAGACTCCTTAGACCCTAAATGCGAAGCTCCGAACCCACAACTCTGTAAACCCCAAACATCCCCAAACCCTAAACCCCAAACCCCAAACCCTAAACCCTAAACCCTAAACCTTAAACCCCAAACCCTAAACCCGAAACCCCTTAAGCCCCGGACCCTCGCCTTGAGGATCCAGAAGTCGCTGACGGACTGTGGGGGAGTCTGGGGGTTGTAGGCATGCTATGTGAGGGGTTTAGGGCTTAGGGGTTTAGGATTTAGGGTTTAGGGTTTAGGGTTTGGGGTTTAGGGTTTAGGGTTTGGGGTTTGGGGTTTAGGGTTTAGGGTTTGGAGTTTCGGGTTAGGGTTTAGGGGTTTAGGGTTGTGTAGGGTTTGGGATTTGGAGTTGAGGTATTTGCTTTGCTCTTTTCGATTCCCTCCTACACCCAACCAGCGGAAGTCCCCAAGCCCCAATTCCCCAAGCCCAAACGCCAGAAGCCACCCAAGTTCGACACGGCTCTCAGTGGGCTTTCGGGACTTTGGGGTTTGCAGTGGGGTTAGGGTTTAGGGTTTAGGGTTTAGGGTTTAGGGTTTAGGGTTTAGGGTTTAGGGTTTAGGGTTTAGGGTTTAGGGTTTAGTGGGGGTTGGCTGATTTGGGTTTTTGGGATTCTGGGGGTTGTGTGTATTGAGTTGGTTTAGGGCTCTTACTCTTTCGGACTCAAGGTTTTCGATGGAACGCAGCTTTTGGGCATCGTGCATCATAGGCCCTAAGCTCACTCTGAACTCGTAGGACCCAGAGAAGGCCCCTATTCCCTTTTTTTAGAGGGCTTAGGTTCCCTTACAAGCCCCTTTAAACCAAACAGTCCTAGGTTAAACTCACTCTAGCCCTGAAGCCCCGGCAGAAGTGCGCCTGGCGCGAGTTTGCAAAGCTTTGGATTCTGCTGCATTGGAGTAACGAAAGCAGGACAAACTCTAAACCCTAAATGGGGTCAGGACTACTTGGACACGAAGCGTTCCGCCTTCCCGCGCGACTTGGTGCAACTTTCGGGGTGGGGGTCACGTGCATCATTACTTGGTGGCCCTCCGCTTCTATCAAGACATCCCCCGGCCCAAACTGTTCCAAAGGAGGCCCAAAAAAGGCTACGAAATGAACACGAAGCGCTGAACCCTCAGCCCTAAACGACACGGAATGACTCGTCGAGCACAAGAAACAGTATGCCTGTCATGGACCACACAGGTTGTTTACGCTCTGCGGAGAATCCTACACCCTAAACCCCCCAAACCCCCAACACCCCCCAAAACCCTGGACCTCAAAAGGCTTCCACCTGATCTCCGATGACCCTAAACCCTAAACCCTAAACCCTAAACCCTAAACCCTAAACCCTAAACCCTAAACCCTAAACCCTAAACCCTAAACCCTAAACCCTAAACCCTTTATAAACCCTAAACCCTAAACCCTAAACCCTGAACCCTGAACCCTGAACCCTGAACCCTGAACCCTGAACCCTGAACCCTGAACCCTGAACCCGAAACCCCTAAAAAGGCTTCTACCTGATCTCCGACGACGAGCTCCTGAGCATCCTCGGAACCAGCGACGCGCAGGTGCGCGGGGTTTTGGGGGTGGTTGGTTTTGGGTTGAGGGGTTTAGGGTTTTAAGGGGTTAAAGGGTTAAGGGGTTTGAGGGTGGTTGGGGCTTTAGGGTTCAGGGTTGTAGGGTTTTAGGGTTTGGGGGGTGTTTTGGGGGGTGATTCGGGCTTTGGGTGGTGAGAGGGTTTAGGGTTTTAGGGTTTTAGGGTTTTAGGGTTTTAGGGTTTTAGGGTTTTAGGGTTTTTGGGTTTTTGGGTTTTTGGGTTTTTGGGTTTTTGGGTTTTTGGGTTTTTGGGTTTTTGGGTTTTTGGGTTTTAAGGTTTTAGGGTTTTTGAGGTTTTAGGGTTTTAGAGTTTTGGGGACTGGGGCCGGAGGCTCGTGGTTAGGGTTTAGGGTTCAAGGGGCGCGCCGGTGCTAAACACACCGAGGCGCGTGACCCGAGTCGTGGATTCCCGCCCCTGCTTGCGCTCCAGGGGGGGCTGTCAAGACTTGCGACGTTACTCCCTGGCTTTGGGTTTGGAGTAGGGTTTCTGTTTAGGACGTAGGGTTTACCGCAGTCCGCTTTCAAGGTGCAGAAGTCCGAAGGCCTGAAGCCCTCTTTTTCGCCGGGCAAGTCCTCCATAGGCCCTGTCAGCCCTGCACGCAGTTGAGATGCCTCGGAATTTGTCCTAAAAATGCGACTTCCGAACCTACACTCGCACGCCTCTGGCCCTGACCCCTTACACCCAGAAGCCCCAAACCCTCCCAAGACCCACCCCTTGGCACGCGGCCAGGCGGTGCAGCCTCACATGTGCTCCGCCGTGTGTTGAGCAAAGGGTTTGTTAATTAGTTGAAGGGTTTCATCAGGGTTTCGGGTCTGAGGTCTAGGGGTTTCCGGCTCAGGGCTAGCCTTATAGCCTCAAAAGAAGGTAGACGCCAAACCTCTAAACCAAAACCCCAAGCGTCCAACCCCCTGAATCTCCTAACTTTAGGGTTCAAGGGGTTTAGGGTGCCGGGCTATCGGTATTGTCTTTCAGGCTGCACTGACATGTGCATGTAGCTGCGAAGCGTTGGTTGGGGTTTAGGCTTGTTGGCTCCCTCCGCAACCTCCTGAGC